ACTCATCATAGAAGCCCAGGGAAAGTAAATGTGTTTTCTTTTAGCTTCTCATGACCATCTCAAAAAAAGAAAAAAAGGCAGCCTTGTATCACATTTTCCTTATAAATTTATTTGATTTGCTGTAGAAACTCCAGGGCTTCACAAATTCTTCAGCGAAGCAGAACGTTCCTTAGAAGCATCCTTTCTAACATTATACCAGAAATTCTGGGTTCGCTTAGGGAAATTTTAGGCTGACTTTTGGCAGATTGGAACAACATTTTGACTCATCTTAAGAATTAAATGTAAAAGAAAAAGAATTAAATGCATTAGTTAAGTGGGGTAATATATATATAAATAAACTTCTCGCACAGCATCTGGCATTCAAACAGCTTTCAGTAACCTTCATCACCCATCTCACACATCCCCTCCCAGACACCTTTTTAGAAGCTTAGTACAGTACCTTCTCTTGTTGCCGCAAATCTCCGAGTGCTCGTTAACCGGGTGCTCTGAGTAGGTGCAGCTTTCACTGGTGTGGGGAGAAAAGGACCATCTCTTCTTTTGTCGTTCTGTTTGCTCAGTTGGCTCAGGAGGGGTGAGTTGAAAGTCATCATTCACCTGTTCAGTGCTCCCCTCCAGTGAGCGACGTGCTCACCTGCCTGCAGGATCAGACCACTGTTTCCAGGAGGGACACGCTTCACTTGGCAAGTCCTGCCCAGCTGCCCCACACCCAAAGGCAGGGCTGGCTGTGTGATCCCAGGAGCTGGGAAGTGTTCCCAGGAAACAGGCTTCATGCTCCTAGCCCGGCTGCCCACTAACCTGATATTTCCAGGTTTGCCTTGATCAGGAAGGAAACTGTGCTAACAACTAATTGGAAATTCTGGCATTCATGTTCTCGATTCATGGCAAGTAGAAGCCACATCTAATTAAATACTAAAAAAAATCATCTTGTCTCTTTCCAAAACACATGTTATTCTCCTGCTTAAAATCAGTCACTTTCCCTGTGAAGGCAAACTCCCTACCATAGTCCATGAGATCCTTCAGTATCCGACCTCTTCCAGTTTCCCAACTTTCCTTTCTCAGTGCATCCCTTCCCTTCTCCATCCTTGCCTGCGTGCACCAGCCATATTCAGCTCTGTAGTTGCTCAGATGCCTGGTGTCGTTTCTCATGTCACTTCTCCTCTTTGAGGTCTCAGCTTATGAACTTCTCTTGGGAGCCTTTTCTGATCCCATGTCCCACTGGGCAGAATTGTCCCCTGGTTACTATGTGCTTTTGCTGTGTCCTGCAGGCGTCTTCAGCGGCATTTCTGACACTTTACTGTGCCTCTTTGTGAGTGTAAATTAGGAATCCTCAAAGGCTGAGACTCTGTGTTTTCCATCTTTGCATCTCTTGTGTCTGGCACCATGTCTGGCCCAGCCTAGGGGTTCAATAAACGTTCAGGAGTGAATGGCTCTACAAAGGAATGGTCCAAATCAAATTCTACTTCATTTACACGTCTTCCCTGTGTGGCTGGGGCCTTTGGGAAGACTCCTTTGTCTGAGCTTCCATAACACTTGTCTCTTTAATACTTACTTGACAC